ATATATAACTCTATGTAAATGTAATAAAATTTTACATTTTTGGTCATATATTTTTCTATTTTAGTGAAATATGACTCTGGACCTTATTCAGTTCCAAGATATGAGTCTAGAGGGCTGTAAGTCTACTATTGAGGCAACTCAGAAATTATGTTCTTCCTTCTTTAGTGTAGTTACTACTCTATACTTACTTTAGTTTTTAAAAACATCTCTGTAGTTGGGTTTTTGGTTAACAAATATTCACATGAACCTGATGAAAATGTTATGAGCAGACACCGATCAATATTATTTGCATTTTTAAAATTTACATGGCAACTAATTTTTGGCAAACTTGCATTTGAGTAATATATCACATTTCAGAACATTTAACTTTACTGTATTATATTCAGGCTGATTCAAAAGTAGTTCAGAGGTGGCTGGACTCTGTGAAAGACTTCCTAATGAAAGACCAAACCAAACAAACAGAACCTGAATGTCTTCAGAAACAGCTTGATCAATGCATGGTAAGATTTACCAATGTATAATATTATTGTTTATTCACATTTTGTTTATTACTTGGCTGTATCTAAACATTGTGAAGAACATTGCATGAAGCTTCAGTAACACCTTCTAATTTTTCTGTAATAGTAGATAACTTTATAATTAATTCCTGAGCCCATTCATCATAGATCTTTCTTAAGGTAGCCATTGATGCCTTTATTTCCTTCTAGTGTACTCTAGTGTCCAACCTTCAAAGTTGTCTTACCAGTTGTTTCCAAATATAAACATAGACATTTTCCCAAGGGAAGGATTCTTTTAATTAGCTTCAAAGTCTTAAATCAGATCCATCTGAGCCCTTAATCCATTTACAACTTTCTAAAACCAGCACAAATCATGCTTTTGCTGTATATCCCCCCATTTTTTTTTTTTTTTACAAATCCTTAAACTCATAGTTAAAACTTCTTTTTTAAAGGATTGAAGAAAACTCACCCAGTGATTTCAATAAAACTTGCCATTCTGAATGTTCTCAATCATTAAGAACCAGTAACAAAATGAAAAATAAAATCCAAAGTGATTAAGAGATGAGCCTTGGTCGAACCTAGATAGGTTACATTAACGGCTGTAAACTCAATGGAATCATGCGGCTCCCACCCGATGGCAAGCCAACCACAAAAACATCAGTTTCTGCTATCTGCTCACAAAAAAATGCTGTCCAGGGTACATGTGGGTAATCTTGAGATCTCTCCTTTCTCCAGAGAGATTTCGGCAGTCCAGATCCAGCTTTTGGACTCCGTTTTCAGCTACAATGTTGTTCCTCTATTCTAGGGATGTCAGTTGGCCATGACACTCACCGGAAGTCTCTGGGGCTTGGATCACCTTTTTTGACAAGCCACATCAGATATGGCTAGAGAATGTGTTGGCAAAATATCCCCCTTTGGGACAATTATGCAATTTTACTGATGTTTCAGAAGCAAGGCTTTTAGCAGGGCACCATTGTACATAATGGCTAGGTTCTCCACATTATAAACCCTGTATGTGATGGTGTACTTTCTTTGGGGAGTAAATAGAGTTCTTCTGGCTTCCAGATGCATGGGTTCAGTTCATAAATTTCCAATGTGGGGCTAGTGGAAAGAGAGAAAGGAATAGTGAAATCCTTCATTCCCATCCATACTTTTCTTTTAGTTTCTCAAGTCTTCCATTATTTCCAAAGCAGAACTGAATTAATGCATTCCTTGCCTTCATCTTGTATTTCATAAAACTGCTTCTTTTTGAACTGGTCAGTTAGGCCATCACATATCTGGAACTAGCAGTTGAAAATCTGTAGCATACTCTCACATCTAATGAAGTTTTGTGATCAGCTAAAACTGGTATCATAGGATCTGTGAAACCAGCTTTCAGGCAGGCCACAAAGTTGCATAGTTGTCTGCATCAGCGCTAGTGTGAATTAGAAGGGTGGTCTGTGAGAAAGCTCTCTCATTCACCAAGCTTATCAAGACTCTTACATGGGCTTGATCAGTATGGAAGTCCTCTGGTCACAGGGAGATATATAAATCCATCGCTTCTTTTAATTACTTTCTCATGGTTTAACATACACCTTGCTTATTATTCAGCCTTGGTGTTAAGTGATAAATGCTATTGACATAAATGAAGTACTTGTCTTGAGAAATGCTAGGTCCCAATATATCTCTTTTTTAAAGAATACTTTGTATTATTGATTGATTGATTGATCGATTGATTGATCAAATTTATACGGCGCCCATCTCACTATATAAGTGACTCTAGGCCGCTAAAGAGTTTTACAATAGTAAAAGATAATACAAACTGAAATCAGAAAAAGAAAAGTAAAGAATAGAAAGAAAAGAAATACAAAGTGCAAAAAAAGAAAAAAGAAAAAGGAGAGAGAGAGAGAGAGAGAGAAAAGATGATTTAATGAAGCAACTCCCAATCTTCCTTGCAACAAGTACAGGCAAATTAATAATTCCCCACTTACTATGAAATTACATACATGGTTCACTTCTTCCCATAACCCCTCCTTATCTACTCACAGATCCAAAAATCGTTGTCATTTCTGTCCAAATGTCAGGAAAAAGTCCATAAAGGGTTTCCAGAATGTTATGAAAGTGTTCATTTTAGCCCTGATCAAACAAGTCAACTTTATATTCCTTTCTTTTGCATCTAACAATTTTAATCTTTAATTCATCAAGTTGCTGTTGTAGGGTTGAATCTCCAGATTTTCTCTCATCTCAAAAATTTCTTCATGCTTTTAGAAACCTTATTTTGCAAATCCAAAGGTCCCAATATATATCTCTCACTATGTATGTATCCTGCATCATGTCACTAGCATTGACAGGTTGCAATTTTGTGCCAGTTTTTGGAGGGCTTTAAAGAAGTTAAAGAAGCAAGATGGTTGCCTTAAATATAATAGAATGAAATATGATTCCATTGCAAAAATGTGTGAACTCCGTCCAATCTTTATTCAGTGCTGAAATAGGATTCCAGAAAATTCTAAATTTATCACCAAGGCTATTCTTAACCCCTTCCTGCATCCCAGTTGGAGGGAATGCAATCAGCTTATGGGATTGCTATTGAAGAAATACTAGCAAAACCTCTTCTGAAGCATAGAAAATCTGTCATCTGAATTCTTTGGAACCTAGTACGTTTGGGAGTTGTGAGATTTTTAGTTGACATTTCATTTCTGTATAACAGGAATAGTACCAGTAAAGCATGAACACTCTACTAAGAGTCTTTAACTAAGAAACAGTCCCTGAAAAACAAATAAACAAAATCTACACTGCTCCAGACCCAAGTAAATCCATGATCTCAACAGCCTGCTATCATATATGACAGATTGATTTTCAAATCAGGAACATCTCAAGCTATTTGTAATGTATTACAGTATTTGTGTAAGGAGCGCAAGGAAGGGAATTTATGTTGAAAGGAAGAAGAAGAAGGGAAGTTTCCCCTATTGGACTAAATGCCCTTGGATATCTGAAAGACTGCTCTCTGGATTGCAGCCATTAACCTGGTTAACATAGTTTATTTAGTTTTGTTATATGTGCTATATGAACATTGTCATTTGTAAATGATGGTTTATGGTTTAGAATGTTTTGTGCACCCAGACAATGGGGTTTTTATTAAACAAACCATGGGCTAAGTAACCACTTAGCCCTTAAATCTCCTTTCAAGGATAAAACCCCTATCATTAATAAATGGTCATTTTGCCACCAAATTTTAATGGCGCAATATTAGAGTATAAATTGGGGTTAAGGGGTTGCTCACCCCTGGCTTACTATGATATACAAAATAGCTTGTATCCTCATTCAAATGAAAGTGCATGTGTGTGTATACGCATTAAACTATTATGCTCATGATTTTTTTTTCAAACTTTGTAATAGATAAGTCTTTGAAATCCAAAGAGAGTGTCTCAGAAGTAAGCAGCATTTCAAGTTGCATCATTGGAAGTAGATATTAAAATGTGTTTTCTTATTTATGATCAGCTGCTTATTACTGAGATGGAAAAGACTGAGTTGTCTTTAAAAGAGATGAAAGAAATAGATTCTTCTTTAAGAGGCCAGCCTGTTAACGCTTGGGTGAAATCCAAACTGACTGACATCCAATCCCAGTGGGACAAACTAAGCAAGCAGGTTAGTTACAGGTAGCATTACTCTTGCATCCTCATATCTGTTGTCGCACTCACAGTAGCGGGGTTGTTACATGCATTGAAACCAGTCATATAATATCTGGGGTCATATTTTATTTTCAATATATAAAATCACATGTTCATATTTACAAGTGCCCAAATGGAAATGCAAACAAAATAATTGCAGTTACATTACTCTATGAGAAATCATCAATTTAATAATAAAATTAATTTTAAAACTATAGAACTGCTATATAGTGCTAAGGATTTAATACAGTCAGGTTCTAATTCAAGCATGGGATGAATTTCAACAGTCAATATTCTTTATTGTTGGATGTGCTGTCTCACAGTTATAGTTCACCTAGAGGGCCATAAGGTTTGTTGTAGTGTAAACTGTGCTCTGGGATGTTCTCAGTTCAAATTTTATCTTAGACATCACCTTGCTAGATAGAGAAAGCTCTCTTAGGCTCAATTCCTCATCTGTTTGAGATTCTGATGAGAAAATATATCAAATGAGCCATGTAGTTTTAACTGGTAGAGCAGTTGTGGTGGTGTTGTTGCTATTTATTCTGATGGACAATTTTCATTATTTCCATATCATCTAAAAGATAACATTTTAGCCACACTATAACTCTTTTTCCTTGCATCCCTCATGTTTTTTAGAAGCCATTAGAACAACAACAACATTCTTTCAGGTTAGTCAGTCTAAGGCTCTGGACAGGACTTGTGAACGTATACTCAGTAGGAAGAAGATATAAAAAACACTGTTCCATTTAGTGGAGGTGAGAGTGTTAGTAATGGGTTATTCTTGTGTGAAACAGTAGAAACCTAAACACTTGCAACAAGAATTTGCTGCTAGTTCGCTGCTGCTAACGCACATTATAAATCCTCATGATGATCATGACCACCATCATCATCATGACTGTGGGTTTCTTCATTCTTAACGTGAACAATAAATCATTAAAAATTAAGAGAAGTATATTAGTTACATTTGCCGGTTCTTGTAACTATAGAATGTTACTTCCTGTTGAAAAAAAATGCAGAATGTTCTTATCTCAAAATAACTTTCACCATTCTGTTGATCACATATTTTTCTTTCATCAGTTGTACAGCACTCTTAAAATAATACAACAACTTTAAATAATGCTATCCACTTTATGTTATTTTGGCTGAATTGCTAGCTCATTAGCCAGAAAAATCAATTATCGGAAAATCAAGAAAAAGCTGTCAATCTCAAAAAAGATTTGGCTGAAATGCAAGAATGGATGACTCAGGCTGAAGAGGAATATTTGGAGAAAGATTTTGAATATAAGAATCCAGATGAGCTGGAGAATGCAGTGGAAGAAATGAAGGTCAGGAATACTAGAAAAGCTTAAATTGCATTTTAAAAAATGATGTAGTCACTGAACTTGGGTGTGTATTAGTTATTACTGCATCAGAATATGCTTTTTTGAAAAGGTTTTCAGAACAGAGTGATTTGTTTTTAGGAACATGAAGGCTTTAAGGCCAAGCTAGCTATCCATCCTACTTATTCTTGAAAACTAAGAGAATTTGAGGTAAGGGAGTTAACCAGTAAACTTATGAACAATTATACTCTGTGAAGCTTTTTGCAAAGACAAAAACTGCATCTCTGTGTTTAACTATTCCAATACTAGAGTAAGAAGAAGTATAGTTTTAATTATAAAATATTGGGTTTAGTTTAGGACAAGTATAGGTAGACTTACACCTTCCAACTGTTTTAGTTTACGTTTCTCATTATCCCTTTTCCTTGGCCATGTTGGCAAGAGCTAGTAAGAGTAGAGGTTTAAGCATTTGGAGGTTACCTACATCTGCCCTCACCTAATCCTGTGTTACTGGAATTAGGCTAGGGTTAGGAATACTTACACAGTTATAAGACCATATTTTGTCCAGTGTCACTACTAGGGCTGTGCAAGTTGCACTTATTGGCAATTCCTTAAAAATCTATATGACGTAAGGTGGTGCTATTTGCCCATGTACGTACCAAATCACCTTTTCTCCTTTGAGCCCAGATTGCTGCATAGCCCTGTCATGTACTCTGCAATTTGACCAGATGGCTTCAGGCTACTGCTGTCTGATCAGCAAGTACTGGTTGGAGTAGAAATTCTCAATCTTGCTACATAGTGCGATTGGAGGAGGCTGTTGCTTGGAACTACTTTTGCTTTAATTTTACAATGTTGAAATGAATGTAGAATTAGTGGATTTAATTAAAGAACTTAGCATTCCGAAATTGTGACAGGGATGTAGAACCTATTTTGCTTATTCTTGAAATTTCATTGCTGCTGTCTCTTAGCTTAATTTTATATATGCTTGTATCCTAATTTAGCTCTTATCATATACTTAATTGTAATTTAATAGTGGTTAATCAGCTGTCTAAGGGAACAAGAAAGAACGCGTGAGCTGGAGTAGCAAAGCCTATTGTAATACACACATACGTTTGAAAAAATTATACCTATTCTGAATGTAGAGTCCTTTTTCCTTCTTGTACATTTTATGTAATACAGTATTAGTAAGATTTTGGTGTATTGTAATGAACTGACATTCTCAATAGCCTGGCTATCAAACACTAAATCATGTTGAAGGATTTTTTTTAAAACACTAGAAACGGTGACATCTCATTTAATAAAGCTTTTTGAATTGAATGACAGGAATGCTGCTGGCATTTTCTGTTAAATTAGAAAGGTTTTTGTAATTGACTGCTCTGTAGCCATTTCCAGTCTTGTGCTCCTCAGTTGTGTTGACTTTGCAACTCTCAGAATTGTCAGTCAGCATGACCTTGGTGTTTGAAAAATTATTTATTTAGAAATTGTCACATTCAATAGAATGATAAACTTGGGACTTTTAAAAATATATTTTTTACATTTAGAAGTGTTGTACACTTGGTTGTAGTGAAGTTATTAAAAATTACACCACAGAAATATATGCACTCTGAAAACTTTTTTTGTTTTAAATGTACAACTAGTTGATGTTGGCCATGTAAGTTGGGAATTTTGAGACAACAATCTTTATACATATGAAGTATTTATCCTTACTCGGGAGGAGTTGACTTCATACATCCAGATTGATATAAATCAGTCTACAACTCAATACTGTTGGAGCTGAAATCCATCCGTATGTCAAGGAAGGTTGTGTGGGGGCACTAGTGGAATAAATAATAAATAAATAATATTTATTATAGAGTTCATTGGAGTTGGGTGGCTTATAAAGTCAAACAAGCAAGCAAACAAACAAACACACAAATAAATAAATAAGATAGAACTTCAAGCAAGGTGTTATGGGATCCATGGATTGCATCACTTCCCATGTGTAAAATGACATATAAAAATGTAACAATTCACTTTAATATTTTAATTATTAGGTAGATTCCATTGTTTATACAGTGATGATGAAAACCTTGCAATTTAGTTCAGTTTGGTAATTTGGTAATAATTCACTGTGTCTGGGCAGAGAGCAAAGGAAGATGTGCTGCAGAAAGAAGTGCGGGTGAAAATTCTGAAAGACAGCATCAAAATGTTAGCTGCTAAACTGCCATCTGGTGGTCAGGAGTTAACAACTGAGCTTAACCTTGTATTGGAAAATTATCAGCTACTGTGCAACAGGATCAGAGGGAAATGCCACACTTTGGAGGTATGATCTATAGCTAACTCTTCCTTCCCTCAACACCAATGGGAGGGTTTAAGCATACGCTTATTCTCCCAATAGTTAAAAACCTATGCCAATGGTGTGTTTATGCTCTATATTTAAAAGTTGGGGGTGGGAGCATTGTTGGGCCAGCAACTTAATTAATGAACAAACTCAAAGCTCTTTTATTATATACTTTATTCTTGATATTTTAAATCCCTCCAGAGAGCCAGTTGGTGTAATGGTTAAGGTACCAGCTAGAAACTGGGAGACTCTGAGTTCTAGTCCTGCCTGAGGTACGAAGCCAGCTGGGTGACTTTGGGCCAGTCACTCTGTCTCAGCCCTAGGAATGATGCAGTGGCAAACCACTTCTGAAATCTTACCAAGAAAACTTCAGGGACTTGTCCAGGCACTTGCCAGGAGTCAGTACTGACGTGAAGTCACAAACACACTAACACTGCTTTTTAAATAGCAAGGGACTATAGTCACTGCTCATTAGTTAGAAGCCACTTCTTATATAAAGTAAAGTAAGTTCAAATAGTGACTCCAATATTGCTGGGAGTGCACTATTTTTTGTTGATTTTAATGTCACTGAAAAGCCAGAGATGTATTGATGAGAAATGTATCATTAATGGAATACATATATTAGGACTTCCTCAGTATAGTGATCATTTCTGAATTATGTATTGCCTGCCAAGCATTTCAGGTATATTTAATTACTATATGTGTTCCTATATTTCCTATAGTACTTTTGACAGTAATGTGAAATAGCATCTTAACTGTGCAGTCAGCCCCCTTATTTAACTCTTTGTATCTGCAAATCAGGATAAAGTCAAGTTCTTAAACATAGTTTTCTATTTTAGTCAAACTGGGCAAATACATTACTAGCTTTCTGTCAGGGAAAAACCACGTTAAACATGGGAGACAGACACATCATGTGTGATTCTGAAGTCACTTCAAAGTTCTAAAAGCTTTATTAAATGTTAGTTCAACAAGCAAGTAAAATTCAGTCAAAAGCATACAAGGTACTTACTTAGATACACATTGCAATGCGGACCAGCCGGACCGAGCTGTCAGGTAGACAGCTTGACCAAGTGGCCAAGTTCACTTAGATGCAATCCTTTTTATCCTTTAAAACCGCAAACCACAATCATGACTCTCAGGATTTTCAGAACGTTCCCAGAGCTAATTTCACCACACTTTCCTGCCCCTCTGTCCCTGTCACGTCTGTTCCCATCAACAAT